TTATTGGGGACATACTGGATGTCTTAGTATGTTTAGGCTTTTTTGGGGTTGCTAAATACCATATATGTCTCTTCATTACCTGACTGGCATGCTTTAGAGCACTTTCCCTGCGGCGGACTGATGTGTTACTGTTGTCACAGAATGTCGGGCGGTCGGTAGAGCACGCGTTATAGCCAGAGAAATTAAAAACAGACGGAGCAGCTTCAGGCTTAAGTTTGTTGGTGCGGCGAATGACTAAATTGGCTGACTCAAAAGTTTTCTCCTGAATGTAATCTTCCTCCAAAAAATGTTCACTGCATACTCTGGCCTCAGCGCCCATTGGAGGCTTCTTCCTTTTCAATGCCGCTAGCCAGTGAATCAGTACTGTTCTCCATTTTAGTGGAAGTTTATGGAAATTAACTCATTTGCCCTTTGCTTTAACGCTGTAAAAATCACTTTTACAACCAGGAGCAATACAGTAGTGCCCCCCCTTCTGTCTTCTGATGTGGCTTGTGGTATTTGGCTTTCTAGTCTCCATCGGTCAGTCCGTTACTTCTACTGTATCTGTTTACCTTAGGCAACGGAACCAACCCCGTGACGTCACACACTGTGGTATTCCAAGATGGCGGCGCCCTTGCTCCAAAAGCTATAGCAAAACATCCCCTTTTCTTTAAAATGGTTTCATTAATCGTGTTTGTTTTATATTTTTTTTATTTAAGTGGAAATCAGTTTACAAAATAATGTAAACTTGACTGACTGCTTCACTTCCACTTTAAGATATTGACAGCGGGGCTGGTGGTCACAACCTCCAGTATTCTAATTGAAAAGATTTTTGACATTTTTTCTTCAATTACTTTTGCGTTGTTCTTCTTCTTAATTTCATCGACTAACTCGAGCCTCTCCTTTTCCAATGTGTCCTGATTTTCCCCAACAGGTTGCGGAGGGAGATAATTCACTTCCACTTTCTTTGGTCTTTTCACATTTTTAGCTGGTGCTACATCGGTCGGTAGCGTCCTCTTCAATGTGTTTACTTCTAATTCTGGATATGTATATTTTTGTGATTTCAGCTTGGCACGGAAATTGTGCATTTTGTACTTGAGGCGTTGTTGCCAGCCATACATGCCTACAAAGGACCTAGGCTCCTTAAGGCATGGAGACTTTTTAACAAGGGCTTCAGCCACTGAAGATATTTGCATACTTGAAGGGTAGGCCATGTAAGAAAATATAGCATTGGCAAGGTCTTGCATTATTGCAGATTTAACACTTGCATCATGGAAATGTGCTCCAGAGGCATGAAATGACTTGTTAGCCTCTGCAAGGATAAGTTCAATGTCACGGGAAAACATTGGCACTTGAAACGGCACTGGCCATTGAGCAGAACAACATGACTCAGGGAGAAGAACGGTGTCTTGTGAACTTGACAGTTCAACGTCATCTGCAAGAGAGGTGTACCCTTCACCATCATCCTCCAAGGTACTCTGTGTAGAGGACAGTCCTGATTCATCTAGTGGATGCAAGTCAAGGGTTAGCAAGGGCTCCTTTCTTACCAATTTCACAGTGGCCTTGTCTTCCAGGTTGGCAGTTGAAGTTAGAGTGAAAAATTGGTTCCCAAAGTCTTTGTCCTCAGAGTAGTCCAAATTCACCATGTACCTGGAATGTCTGAATGATTTCTGAAACAAGATCTTCCACCTTATTAGGAAATCCTGATGGAAGTGTCAACTTTCGGATATTGTTTTTTTCTATGATGACTCGCAACTGGACTGGCATTTTCCTTGTATTTGTTGTCTTCAGCTGTAGGAAGACAGAAAAAGATGAGATTGCATTTTTGTAAAAATTCAATAAGTATACTTGGCATGATTGATAAGGCATGAATAATACACATGATTGATAAGGCATGCATAATTAAACTGAAGTGTAAAACCTACTCTGATATGTAAATGAAGTGTACACAACAACACAATAGTCAACACAATATTGTGTGTCCAACACAATAGTCAGTGCCTAAAATGGTGACTTTGTTTGTCATGCTCACAACTGCTGCCCTGGGAAACTTCTTTACAAATTACTCCTTAATGCTGTCCTTTAGAACCTCCACTGCCACTTGAGTCATTCTTGACATAGAGAGTTTTGGCCTTACAATGTTAGCATCATGGATGTGATATGCAATCATTGATTGGTGTTTTCTTGCCATTGTCTTGAGAATGTTTCTGAATGACCCCAGTCTGCCTCACAATCCTTTCAAAAAATCGGTGTTTGGATTCGAATCGCATGGTCCAGAGAAACACAAGTGGTCCAAAAGCAGTTGTAAGCCAAGGATAATGCTCCAGGAAGTGATGTTTCGGTTTCAATTTCTCCTCTGGGAACACATCCAAATACCTATAACGGTGTTCACTAATCTTGCTTTCCATGTATCCTAGTGTCTCATCTGTGTAAACAGGAGCCATGACAAGCTCAACAATATCTTTCAAGGTCACCAAAACCTGCCATGCTGTGTCCTCTTCTGGCACTTTGTTGCCAATCATAAAAGGTAGCATCCATAACAAGCACCAGTTTTCATGTGCATTGCCTCCTATACTTTTACGTGATGCAAAAGTCAGGGGAATAGCTTGTGGACAGTTGACTTTGTCATTCCATTTGTAGGGAAATCGATGGATTGAAGAGTTAAGTTCAAGTAGAGAGAAGTATTTCTTCTTTATAAACACATCAAGACACAGTGCCAGTTCAAAAGGTACAATCCCTTCAAGGCAAGGCAAGGCAAGTTTATTTATATAGCACATTTCATACACAATGGTAATTCAAAGTGCTTTACATAAAAGAAAAGATAAAAATAAAAATAATCACAACAATAAAACAAGGAATTTAAACACTTTGAAAATGATTTAAAAAACTGATTTAAAGAGGTTTAAAGGAATTTAAGAAAACGATTTTACATAAAATATAGTGCAATCAGTTCGGACATCGCACAGTGCTCACTCAATAAATGCACAGCTAAACAGATGAGTTTTGAGTCTGCAAAGTTAGGAGGGGCTGTTTCATTGAGGACCATTGCACTGCAGCTGTCTTCTAGCCATGTTTCGTTTAGAAACATAAAATCCAGGTTGTTTGTGGTTAAGTCATTGATTAGAATTTTTTTTTTAATGTTTAAAAATGCTAACTTGATGGCATTGCATTTTGTCTCAACAGCAATATTAGTTTGATGCATTTATCATCCGGTCATGGTTGTATTTCTCTATTAGTGCTACTGGATCTTAGCGCTGCGCTTGATACTATCGACCACAACATTATTTTGAGTAGACTACAAATCAAATACAGTCATCAAATCATAGCAGTGAATGACAAGATATCATATCGATCACAAGTACAGTATGGAGTGCCACAAGGCTCAGTACTAGGACTGTTGCTTTTCAGACTTTGCCTGTTACCCTTGGGAGATATCATCAAGAAACATGGTGTCAGCTTTCACTGTTGTGCTGATGATACTCAGCTCTATATTTCTTCACAACCCACACAAATTCGCAAAACTAACGGAATGCATAGCTGATATAAAAAACTGGATGACTAGTAATTTCCTTCTGCTAAATTCTGAAAAAAAACAGAGGTTATTATTAGACCAAAAACCCCTGCATGTAATAACCTAAAACACTGTCTAGCACTTGATGGCTGCTCTGTTAATTCTTCGTCATCAGTTAGGAACCTAGGTGTGTTATTTGATAGCAATCTTTCCTTTGAAAACCATGTTTCTTGCATTTGGAAAACCCCATTTTTCCATCTTAAAAATATATCTAAATTACATCCTATGCTCTTAATTTCAAATGCAGAAACGTTAATTCATGCGTTTATGACCTCAAGGTTAGATTATTCTAATGCTTTATTGGGTGGTTGCTCTGCGCGCTTAATAAACAAACTCCAGCTGGTCCAAAATGCAGCAGCTAGAGTTCTTACTAGAACCAGGAATTACGACCTTATTAGCCCGGTTCTGTCAACTCTGCACTGGCTCCCTATTGAACAACGAATACATTTTAAAATCTTGCTACTTAATTATAAAGCCCTGATTGGTTTAGCTCCTCAATGCTTGGGCGACCTCATATTGCATTATAGAACAGGTTCAAAAAAATGCTTTAATAATCCAATTGAGCAAACAATCCAAAAGGCAGGCAAGCAAACACAACTTAACTAGAAATTAGAACAAACGAAACATGTGACTGAAGATAAACAAACTAAAAGTCCATGAAAATGGGCATATAAGACAGACCATATAATTGTGACAGCATCCTGTTTGCAGACTTATAATATTTCCACACAAACTAGATTTTGGGGAAATGATTGCAATGCAGTTTGTGTGCAATTCCAGAATAAAGATTAGCCAAAATAAAACTTAAAAAAATTTTTTTGAATATTTAGAAAATTTCAAAAGATTTATGGTTGATCGACCAGTGCATCTCTAGAACCTGAAACTTTCACACACTGCTGATTTAAAACAACTCTTGCGTTCCATCTGAACTCACCATTGTTGTTTTGTGTTGCTGCTCAAATCGTCTCATCATCTGCTCTTTCCTGTTGTGGCGGTTAGCGGTGCATTATGGTACATGCCCCCTACTGGATTGATCACCTGTGATTGACCGAACCACGGCATCCGTAACGTGACGGTTCAGGACAAGTACATGAACCGTTACATCCCTAGCACTAAGGCATTTGGTTGAATGTTCAGAATCTTGATTCTTGTGTATAGACATTTGTAAATATTTAAAAATACAGATCTGTGCTCTGTTAATTATTTAAAAGTAATTGGGGGGAAAAGAAGAAGAAGAAGAAAGTATCAACATTTTTAGTTGTCACTGTTTTGGTTCTTTATTTAACTCACACAACTGCATAATATTTGTACATAAAAGTTTGACAGTTTATTTAATCAGTTTTACTGTGTGTGTGTGTGCGTGTGTGTGTGTGTGTGTGTGATCTTGATCAATGTATGATCAACTTTAAAAAATGATGAAAACAATTATTAAATAATAATAATATGCTATTCAAGTCTTAAAATATGTTTTTCCCATCATATGTTTCTTTGTATTTTGGTCAGGCTTAAGCAGGATGATATAACATTTAGGTGCAAATATGCAGAATAGTAAACCAAAGCTTGAGGCTAAAATGGCAAATATCTCCACAGCTACAGTAAATTTTCCAGGAGAACTGACATAAGCTGGTATAAATGTGATCCATACAGCACAGAATATCAGCATACTGAATGTGATGAATTTGGCTTCATTGAAGTTATCAGGCAGTGTGCGAGCCAGAAAAGCTAAAATGAAGCACAAGACAGCCAGTAGGCCAATATAACCCAGAACAGCCCAGAAACTTACAGTAGAGCCCAGACTGCACTCAAGAATGATCTTTTCCTTAAAATAGTTCATATTTTTGTATGGAAATGGAGGTGATATTGTTAGCCATAGCACACATATAAGAACCTGTATAAGTGTAAAGGCAAGAACACTGAGTCGTTGTTGTGCAGGTCCAAACCATTTCATGACATTACTTCCTGGAAGTGTAGCCTTGAAGGCCATTAACACCACTATTGTTTTCCCCAGAACACAGGAGATACAGAGGACAAAAGTGATCCCAAATGCTGTGTGACGCAACATACATGACCACTCATTGGGCTGACCAATGAAAGTAAGTGAACAGAGAAAACACAGAGTCAGTGAGAAGAGCAGCAGGAAACTCAGCTCTGAGTTGTTGGCTTTTACTATGGGGGTGTCCCTCATTCTGTAAAACAGGATGGCCACCAGCACAGTTAATCCTGACAAAAGTGATCCCAAATGCTGTGTGACGCAACATACATGACCACTCATTGGGCTGACCAATGAAAGTAAGTGAACAGAGAAAACACAGAGTCAGTGAGAAGAGCAGCAGGAAACTCAGCTCTGAGTTGTTGGCTTTTACTATGGGGGTGTCCCTCATTCTGTAAAACAGGATGGCCACCAGCACAGTTAATCCTGCTCCAAAGAGTGAGAAAAAGACTAGCACTATACCCATAACTTCTGTGAATGACAGAAACTCTTCAGCCTTTAACACACATTTATTTTTTTCAGCATTAGACCAGTATTCCCCTGGACACTGCTTGCAATTATTTGAATCTGGAAAGGAAGATGCAATCACTAGTTGGAGACAAAAGGGGGGAAAAATAACATGAATGAGCTGGACTGTCAGACGGCCTGTGAGATTACCTGTCTCATTACTGATTTCGCCTTCTGCACATGGAATACAGTCATAACAGCAGACAGGTCTTCCTTTTTGTGCAGCCTTCCTAGTGCCTGGAAGACAGCTTTCACTGCAAACAGAGTTTGGCTTCTACAAGTAAAAATACACAGTTATTTATAGACTCTAAAGAATACAAGTTAATATTTTAGTACAGAATAGTGTATACTTGGACCATGTAGTATGTGAGGTTTGTCATTTTTATTTTATTTTTTTATTTGTGTGCGTGTGTGTACTTAAGAATAAAGCAAGGTTTGGAAAGTGTTGTTATATAAATTTGCACAATATTGCTCAACTTATCATTTATTCATCATTTTGCTCAAAACTCATTCATGAACACTGCTCTTCTGACCACTTGATAAAACCTGCATTATTTGACTTTACTGGAAATGTCATCCTGAAAATGTATCAACTTAGAGATAATGGCTATTTTAGCCACCAGGAATTAATACATTGACGGTTATCTGTATTTTTCACAGTGTTGACTCACCCATAATGTTTCTTCTTTCAGACCAACTTGCACTCATAATGGTGCACCACATTTTCTCTGCTAATTTATTGTTATTATTATTTTTTTTACTTTAGGGCTTTCATAAAGGTCAATTCAAGTAGTTACTTTTTTATTAATGTTTCCTCAATTTAAACAATGCCATTTACAAATAGTTTATTTACCTCCAGTTGTCCTCTAGCCCAGATTATGTTTTCAGTGTTGAGCACAAAGCGCTGGTCAGGGGGCAGTGAGGCATCATAGTATCCCACTGATTTAAATTGTAATGATCCATCAGAGTCCTGCTGCCAGTTCACAACTTCATATTGGGCTACTGCGGCACCAGTTCTGTCAAACCACACACGATCTCCGAACTTCACGGTAAAATTTACTTTTTTCAGTGCCTCAACCACCTAATATAAAAAAGACAGTTCTGGTACATTATCATTGATATATTTTAAAACATTTTTCACCAAAACTACTGTTACACCTTTCTCTTCCTTTCTATTGATTTGATTTGTATCTTTTACCTGCTGTGGTTTTATTGTCAGGCCTTTCTCACAACCTTCTTGTTCTTTGCACTTTAGTAGACTGTGTAGTGAATGAGCCACAGCATAAACTGCTTTGTAGACGTGACTTGAATATCTTTGTTCAGGCACATCTTCATTGTAGTTTTTCAGTGCAAGTAGATCTTGATATCTGCTGCAATTTATTGTATATTGAGAGGGATCCCCCTTAATCTGTGAGCATGGAAAAGCTGTGTCCCAAAATGCTTTTACAACATAATTGGAAAACCCTTCCAAGTTGATTTTTCTCAATGCAATCCCCAGTGACCCTCCCATCACCTGAAAACTCTTTGGTGTAATCAAACTCGTTGACGTTATCCATCCTTCCACTCCAATTATTTGGAGGCCTGTAATATTCAGAATATTTAACTGATCAATAAGTAAGCCCATCTCAATAAATGAAACAAATGCAACAATCACTTTTGCTGTGCCTTTTTTTATTGTATCTACCACTTTTTTGAGTTTTTCTGGCTCTGTTCGATAGAATTTCACAGAGTACTCTACACAAATCCCCTCTTTCTGTGCTGTATTCAGAAATATGGTCATTCCATAGTTTCCATAGTCATTGTCACTGTTTACAGCTCCCACCCAAGACCAGCCTAAGTGCTTGACAATGTATGCAAGTGCTCTGCTCTGGTGGTAATCACTAGAAATAGTCCTGAAGAATGAGGGGTGATCTTTCCTATTACTGAGACATTCACATGAGGCTGTGTGACTTATCTGAGAGAAAAAAAGTGAAAACAAACAATCAAATACTCATCTGTATGTCAGAATGACATCAGTATCATTATGTCAGCTCTTTTTTTATTGCTCTTTACCACTGGAATTTTAAAAGGTCCTGTAGTTCTGGACAGAATCACTGTGGCAGAAGACTCCGTTTCTCCTATGATAGCATGTATAGAAGACTGTCCATTGCATGTCTCCCCTGCTGCAAACTCTGGACCATTCATCAGTCCCATAGTTGCACTCATAGAAGACATTCTTGAACTACAGGTATCATAGATTTGGTAACCAATAGAAACATTTGGGAGCAACATTTCACTTCTATTTATCTCTTCAATGGCAAATATCATTATTTGAGCCAGCCGGAAATCTGGTAGATTCACACTGTGAAAATATTAAACCATTATGATAAATAGCAAATACATAAATAAATTATAGCATAAGGATAGTTTTAGATTTCCATAAAAAAAAAAATATATATATATATATATATATATATATATAATCACATATTTCTGCTTTGAAAGATGATTTTCCAAATATATTTGTAGTTCATTGTAATAAAATGAAATTTTAGATATGATGCATTACATTGTGTTACATATTATACTTACTGTGCTTATGCATAATATATATATATACTCTAATGTTTCTCAATATTTGCAATGTAACAAACCTGGAGCATAAGAGAGGCTGAGGTTTTTGTGTAAACTCAAATGAAGGTAATGTTTCTTTACTGTGCATTGCAAAAATTCCTCCAATAGTTGCTTCACCATCCTTGGAAAGTAGCGGGTACTTCGGATCTCCCATCATTTGGCAAAGTGTTTTTTCTGCCTTTGTATGAAAGTGATTGAAAAATGTGAGTGTGTAAAGTAAGAGAAGCATCCCAAAGATTGTTCAGCTGTGACTGATGCAAATGATCTGATAAATAATTTTCATATATATGATATATATATAGAGAGAGAGAGATAATAAGGATGAATGATTGAGAACATATGACCTCATTGGGCAGGGCATGAGACAGATTAATCAAGAAAGCAATAGACTCAATCTAAATAGAGTGCATCATATTTATTTATTTATTTACATTAAAAAAGACCCACAACCCCACATCTACATTAAACCGTTTGTAATAAAGCATTTTAATGCTTGCACACTTGTTTGATTGTTAATGACACTACCAGTATGCAATTTTAAAAAGAAAAAACGATCGAAAATTGGTTAAAAAGGGAAAACTTTATGAATGAAATTTACTTAACAAATGTTATATCAACAAGCTCTTGTGAATTTCACTGTGTTCTAAAGTTCAAGTCTGTTGAACTCTGACCTGTGAATTTGGTTTCGTAGGTTTGCAGCATTGCAGAAAATTGGACTAGATTGCATATCCACACGTTTGTATTTATTATTTCTTAATTGTTATACATTGAATAAAAAAAAAAGATGCCAGAGAGTGGGACATCATATTGTGGCCATTGCTGTGTCAAAATATATATTGCATGCTCAAAGAGCATGGCTTTATGCCCAAAGTATACCCCAGTTTTTACACTAGGGTATGTGTATAGTGCACATAAACTTTGTCAGCAGCATAAATGCATGCTGTACCTGCACTGTCCATTTTTTTCTAAGCATGCATGTTGCGTGCATTCAGCTTGTACCTTTTTGCACTAAGTTGGTGTACAAGGTAGCAAAAACTACAACAAACTACTGGAGACTGCAAAAAACAGTAGGTGCCCACATTGATGAGCACTTGAGTGAAAAGTTGGGAGACACCCACAATTTTAGTTTAAAAGTTCAAAGACATTTTCATTGGCCATAACTTTTGGAGAGAAATAAGTGCAGACACTGGACCAACATAACCTGTATTGACCGCTTGTGTCTGTCAAGTGGCATTTACATTGAAAGTAGTGTTAATTTCGTTAATGAAAAGTATGACGAAAAAAATTTGTTGACAAGCTTTTTTCCCATGACGGCAGGGCCGGCCCAAGCCTTTATGAGGCCCTAAGCAGAATTTTACATGGGGGCCCCTCAGTGCCGCCAATACAACTGATTATTGTCAATGCTTGATTATTCGCACACCCATTATCGATTTTATTTGGTGTAGCTGTGATGATTACATCATACCAATGTCTGCCTGTTATGTTTTACCCTTGTACGATTTTTAATTGTAACAGTAGTAAACCCACAAGAGTGGTCAGGTGTTAATTTGCACTTTAACATTCAAAGTCTTACAGTATTAAGCGGCACACTTAATGTGGTGTACTGAAAATTAGTTAAATAAACCAGATGACAATGCATTTACGGAACAGAATGTTATTTTAGCAACATCAATTATTAAACACACATCTAAAACAACAACGCTTAATCTATAACTAGCTAATTGAGGCATAATGATATTGGAATATAGCAAGACCCCAAAGGTAGGCTAAGGTAAATAATGTTAAGCTGTTATCAGTACCAAATTTATGAAACAGAAGCTTATTTTTATTACAAAAATATATACACAGGAAAGTTATTTTTATACAGAAGACAAAAACTTTAATCAAAAACTAGCTAAATGAAATATTGTAATATTCCTATATTATGATGTCAAGGCTATACGGATGTTTATCAAACATGAACTTCCCTAAAACAAGAAGATACCCTACCTAGGCTATGCTAATTAACTAGTCAGCCAGGCCCCCTCCCCCCCCAGGTTCAATTTGTCCCCCCTCCACCCCCGAAATGCGATCGATTTTATCCCTTTGACGCACCGCACTTTGGCTCGCGCTGAGCCAGAGAAAGACGCGCTCGGTTATTTTTATATTTTAAAACTGTTTAGTGTTTTCAACCGCTTTATTTAATTTATTTTAAGATTTCAGACATTTAAATAGACATTGCAATTAAGTACTAGCAAAAAAAATTATAGTTTGTTAAATACACACTGATTTCTATGGAAAGCGTCAATAATAAACCTTTCAATTAAAATTTGACGTCATGTTTTATTCTTTTCAACCATAAATTTTACTCTGTTTTCTCCCAGTTCACTGGCCACTTACTTTCATGTATTTCGGGAGAATTGGGCTGTATCATATAGTTCATGATGTAGGCTAGTTAACAACCTAAAAACTAAATAAAAGTCATACATCTGTCATACTAAATATACTCAATCATACAATCATACTTTAATATTGCTTTTTTCATGTACGCTTGGGGGCTCCCTGGTGGCCACGGGGACCCTAAGCAGCCGCTTAGTTCGCTTATGCCACTTAGGCCGGCTCTGCATGACGGGACTATGACAAAAAAACAATAAGGTCAATAAACGATAACTGTGACTACATCAACATGACAAGACTAAAATGTATTTAAAAAAATAAAAGCTATACCATTTTTTTTTGTTGTTGTTGAAAAAAAAGGAGACAAAACATTATTCCAGACTGCTGTACACACCTCAGCCACACAAGCTCATGTGTGCAGTTGCCAGATATCAAGAGTTCAAATCTACAAATCAGAGCTTCTCTGTTAAAAGGATACATTTTCTGCCTAGTGTTTTGCTTATTTTTTGCAATTTGGGAACCATGTGCACACACTCGTTCTTCATTGCAGAAGCACCAGCGATGATCTTAAAACAGTACATTACTATTACATACTGTACAAATACAGTACGCTCGTAAATGACACAGTATGTCAAATATTATGTAGAAAATTAAACTTCATAGAGTTCATAGAGCAGGAGCTGGTGATGAAAATTTCAACAATACGTTTTATTGGAGTATACTGTATAAGAAAGTGTATTGAAGTTTAGAGGAAAAATAAATTTCAAGTGCATTAATTCACACAGTATATATTATAGCCTAAATACATTTAAAATACATTAACAAATGTAATTTTGGATAACACACTTAAGTTGAAATTAAAATCAATTATTTTACATGTGATTTAGTATATTGGTAAATATATCAAAATAAGTGTACTTATTTAAAACACTATACAATTATAATTATGTAAAATGTATGTATAAGTAATACTTAATTAGACATTATTATACAGTGCATTTTTAAAAAGTGCACTTAAGTATGTTAAGAAATATTGTCATTAAAGTGTACTCTCTTTAGGTACACTTAAGTTGTCTTTCATTTAAATTATATTATATTATCTGCAAGTACGCTTTTAAAAAAGTATACTTTTAAGATTCTAAGTACACAAAAAGTACACTTTTAATACAATTAAGCACACTTCTTTTTCACAAGGGCATTAAAAGCATGTATTATAAGTGCACAATCTAGTTTTTCTCAGAAAAGTGCCTTGAACTTTTTGACATTAATTGGTTGTCCAAAAGGAAGCAACACTGGCCCAAGTTTTTTTTAAAAAGTTTGAAAGAGATGGAACAACAACAACAAAGTTCTGGAAGGTGCAAGAACAATGCCTGCATTTATGAGTGTTTGTGTGAACAGATTAAGACATAACCATAATTCTAGTTTTAAAAAATCAAAGACATTTTTAGCAGTCATAACTTGGAGGGAAATAGTGCAGACACTAGAGAAACATGAAACTTTCTAGTGCATATGTGTTTGCACATGTTATCAAATGCAGTATACTTTGAAAGGCTATGCCTATTTACCTGTATGTGTAAGCTGATCGTTCATGCCAAAATTGAAGTATATTTTGAGCTTAAAACATCACCACAAGATTTACTTAACCTGGAAGTCTTAGCGCAAAATGAATTGCGAGACGTGAATTCAGATACACATGTTATTGCACCTGACGATTCTACTGCTGATTACCAGGCAAACACGGTAAAAGTGTTAATGTTAGTATATATATATTTTTTTGGTTTTTGATGTCCATAGTAATGGTGTGTGTAAAACTGTGTTTTCTTTGTTTCTGTTTGTGTTTAGTTTTCACGGTGTTCCATATTAATAAATATAACGTATGGACGTCAGTGCTTTGGATGTGTTGACTGTTTAATGACCAGCGAGTAGTTACAGTGAAAACGTGGCCTAATTCCGTTCTACTGAAGTCTGCGTTGGCGGTGGTCCTCCGGTTTCAGTGCGCGGCTTGCCGCTTCTGGGTCTCTGCACGCGGTTTGGGTGCTTGTGGTGAAAGAGGCTGTTGTCTTCAGTGCACGACTCTGCTACGCTACTCCTGTGACTTTGGGTGCTGTTCGGCAGCCCTTGCCGTGTTGGTTGCTGCAAGTTTCAGCGTGCAATTCTGCATCTTCCTCCTGTGGTGGACTCTCGCGGGTTTGGCGTTATAATACAATGCCGGTGGAGGATTTTCTCACGCAGCTTTGATCCATCTGTGACTCAACAGCAGTCCATCGTCGACCCACGCTAGCCCTAGGACTGTTCTTGTGTCTTGCCCACCATATACCTGTCTGCCTCTGTTTAACCCTGCCTGCTTCATGACCACGTCTCTGTCTTCTCCACAATAAAGCCTTGCAGATGGATCCGCACGTCTCACGTCTCGTCAGTTCCGTAACAGGTGGAAAGAGTAATGAAAATTTTTACTTAAGTACAAGTACTGTTACATTGCTGAAATAATACTCAATTACAAATAAACGTACTGGTGTCAAAACAGTACGTAAGTAAAAGTGCAAAGTACTCCACTCAAAGACTACACAGAGTATTAGTATTACTAGTTACTTTTTAGCCAGAGATAATTAATGAATTACCAAAAAATATTCATATCAAAGATCTATGTGGATAATAGCTACTTTGAGCAAAACCCACTTTTATATTATTGACAAATTATGTAAAACTGGTGGTCACGATACAGAAATGTCTAACTTCAATACCTTGAAAAAAATCTATTTGAAAGTACCCGTGAACTGGAAGTTGCAACTGACTTTAGTGTTGTGGTGTATTTCCAATTGAAATATTAAATAAAGGGCACAGGGTTTTATTGTGGTGCACCTCCACTCCACCTCTTGCTCATAGCAGAGTCATGGTTGGATAGGAGTGGTTAAGAATATCTGCTTGTTACGTCTGACATAATGCTTTACTGCTTCTGGGTCCTAACCCTCTGCCAGACGCCCCAGGAAAACACCAAACTGCTAATATACACCCACGATGTCATGTAATACTGAAAATTATAACCCCTTTATCTCCATACTGAAATCCCAGATGGCCTGACAGTGATTCAGCTAAAATATTAGTGTCTGAGACACTGTGAGCACGGAGACTGTAGTGTGCACAGCAAATTTTTAAACGCTTAGCTTTAATATGTAATATTAATTAAATAGTGCTCAGAAATGGCTGTTGAGATAGTATTCTCAAGTGAAATGAGTAGAGGCATGGACCCGGAAACAGCAGTCTTTACGTCATGACTTAACAAGAGGATTCTCCCCAAGCCATCAAACTGACGTCATCAGAGCGAGAACGCCTTCCAGAGCGAAGCGATGGCAGTCAATTTTTTTTCAGTGTATTGACTTACATGGTTCAATTGTTCACCACAAGACTTGTAATGTGCACTAAAAAGTAAGTAAGGTCATTTTTGATTTCATGACGACCAATCATTTTCAATACCTCTGGCAAAACTAACACATACTGTATACTGCAATATAGATATTTAATTTAATTTTATTTTTTGTCCATCCACTTTTTCAAGGCACTCATTATTTGAAGCTTTGAAATTGGTTTAATCCAAGTCTTCTAAAAAGACACATTCGCTTTATATGATGAACAGATTTTAATATAGGCTTTTATTTACATACATATAAATATTGATCAATTACCATTACAAAAATCTCAATCTTAAACATTTGCACATTCTTTGTAGTTGTGTCTTTAAAATAGGGTAACTTTGTTGCAAAAGCTTACAGCACAAGGAAGCTTGATTTCAACTTTGATTTCAAACTGAATTTAATTCACACAAAAAAGTACACAGTCAGTAATACAATTATAAAACAAATGACCTCAATTCAGTTTGAGGTATTCAAAATATGCACTGATTTTTTAAAAGCAGTGATTTAAGAGCCATATATGTTATTTATTTAGAATAATGGAACATCATATGGCTTTGACCTGACTGTACAATGTAATGATGCCTGTTACATATCCGGTCCATGAACTTCCGTCTGCTAGCCATCAGAGGTCACCCTTTCCATTTCATTGACTCTCGCACTACACACTGTTGCATATCACCCCGGACTACATATCCCATCATTCATTACACTGATTGCACACAGCTGTTTCATATCACTCACTCACTATTTAACACTCAATCTCACTCCCTTCTAACTGCCGAGTATTGTTTAGTGCTTATCGTTTGATAGCTACTCTACGGAGCCTGTTTAGTTTACCCTGCCTTAGCTTAGTCTGCCTCGTCTGTTTTCTTGGTTTCTGATCTTTGCCTGTTTTCCTGATTTTATGCCTCTAGTCTCGCCCTTGTGATTCTGTTCGTCGATCATTGACCTACGCTAGCCCTAGGATTATTCTTGTGTCTTGCCCGCCATATCCATGAACTTCCGTCTGCTAGCCATCAGAGATCACCCTTTCCATTTCATTGACTCTCGCACTACACAGTGTTGCATATCACCCCAGACTACATATCCCATCATTCATTACACTGATTGCACACAGCACTGATTGCACACAGCTGTTTCATATCACTCACTCACTATTTAACACTCAATCTCACTCCCTTCTAACTGCCGAGTATTGTTTAGCACTTATCGTTTGATAGCTACTCTACAGAGCCTGTTTAGTTTACCCTGCCTTAGCTTAGTCTGCCTCTTCTGTTTTTTTGGTTTCTGATCTTTGCCTGTTTTCCTGGATTTATCCCTCTAGTCTCGCCCTTGTGATTCTGTTCGCCGATTGTTGACCTACGCTAGCCCTAGGATTATTCTTGTGTCTTGCCCGCCATATACCTCTTTGCCATTGTTCGACCCTGCCAGTGTTTCTGACCTCCTCTGCTTGTAATAAAGCTTGCACATGGATCCGCACGTCTCACGCCTTGTCAGCCCCGTAACAATGCCAATAGGCAGACTAGGATATTTATATGTACAAATCAGACAAATATTCCATTCCAAAACATTTCTAGCATAAACTTACATTGTAAAGAATTAAAAGTTCCATCTTAGATTGTTGAAAGACTGTCTGGTGCATTTCACTTACAGCCAATACAATTTCCAGTAGGATTTTCATCGCTCAGGCGTGGGTGGATCTATTCTGAATGGTTGATAACTTTTGACAAAGTTTAATCCAGAAGCAAAGATAAATAATTTATACTTTAAAAGCACAGAGAGATCGCGATTGCACACAGTCTGCGCACAAACAATATCGGAGTGAGAGGACAGGCAGTTCATTTGTATAATTAGGTCTATTTGAGAGCTCGCATCCAGTTTTCTGCGATTACATGACTGTGTTCTCATGTTACAATAAAGTGCTCGCCACATAATGATTAAATTATGCGGAATACCTGCAATCTCGCATGGACATTCAGACTCTGTAATCGACAGGAGGTGGATGTGTGTCAAACTCTGTCGGAGAGGAAAGAGAGACGCAGCTTGTATCAGTGTACGCTATATACGGTAAATACTGTGGAAAATGAGTAATGGAACCGTGTCAGATATTTCAGTATCGGCATCAAATATAGATATTTATGATAACATTACCATGTAGTTTGTTTCTCCAAACTCTGAGTCCATATTCGTGATGGGATGATTGATACTGAGGCTCAGATGCTCCAACGCAGTTTTCAAAACACTTGTATCACACACTGTGCCGATGCTTGTATCGAAATGACAATACCACGTGACTGATGACATTTGAAGCTTTGAACGCCATGCAGTTGAAAAATCGATTGAAAAATCAGCACTTCGCATGACTCTTGTATTTGACTTTATATTGACTTGGTTGTGTGTGTGTGTGTGTGTGTGTGTGTTTGTGTTTGTGTTTGTGTACACTTATTTAGGATTCAGTATAATAGTTTAGAATAACCTCAACACCAGACAGAAACTGCACGTCATACCTCTATTGCATTTGATCATGTTCTATAGGTGCTGTACATTAGAGCTATCGGTGGGAGACCCGGAGGTCAAGGCCATCCAAGTATTGAAGACAGAGGCCATAAAGCAAGTGGATTTTCAACAGCAAATATCACAGTTCTCAAAAAGGACTAAAGCTGTGAACGTCTTATTCGACTTGCACAACAGAATGCCTTTAAAGAAGAGCTGTATGTACTTAGCCAGGAACCTGGGAAGCTGCCTTGCATTCATCCCCTCTATCAGCTTGATCTATTCATGCAAGATAGAATAATGAG